TCAATAAATAGATTATTAATTTTAAACTGTTATAATTTATACTTATTGATATTTAAAGATATTACTAATTACAAATTTATATCGGAATATGTGTAATGAAAAATAAAGCAAGTAAAAAGGAGTACGTGTCATCCTGCTCGCTTGAGCAGTTGAGCGTTCTTTCAAAAAAAAAAAAAAAAAGGAGCACATGTCAAGAGAAACATTTCAATTAAGGGTCAAATCTGATTAACTGAATTGGACTGAACTGATTATTTTATGAGAGAAGGAAATTAAGATATACATTGAACTGAAAATAGGCTGAAGAGATTAGAGCCTAAGTAAAAAGAAATAGTGAAGTTTTTTATTTTAATTTTTTTTTACAACCAATAGAGTTAAAAATGATAATTTACTTTAAAACTTAGTGGTTAAGCAGCGCCAACAGTTAGATTTATGACGTAAGTTAACTTTTCTAATGTAATTTTGGGAGCATAACCTTCTTTAGCAGAATAGCAGTTGGCCAAAATGATGATACGTTTTACTAATATGGTTATTTTGGGAGATTTGGAGTTTATCTGAATTATCTTCCCTTGATTTTGTGCGTGTTGTCGAAAAAAAAAATGGTTATTTTGGAGTTTGTGCTTCAGGGAGAATTTGAGGCATGTGTCTCTCTATTCGTCTTCACGTGTTTGTGTTGTAATTTGTCAATGTAAAAAAGTAATTCTCAACTCCTCGAAATTTATAGTTCATGTTTGTGTTTTATTACGGTATTTAAGAAATGATAAGAAAGTGAATGAAATACATTAAGTGAAAAAAGTAAAATTATAGATAAAAGTTGAAGAAGCAAAGTGAAAAAAAAGTACTGTGAAAAATTCAAAAGTAATTTAGAAAATTTAAAGAAAAATGATCGCTTGTAATTAGAGCTGGCAAAAGCTGACCCGACTCGACAATCGACCCGAACCCAACCCGAAATAAATGGGTTTTGATTATAATTTTAAACCCGTTTATGTAATTGGGTCAATCCGAACCCGGCTTGAAAATAAGCGGGTCAGGTTCAGGTTGAGAATCCCAACCCGAAAATAACCCGCCTTACCCGTTTAACTAATTTAGGTCAAATATAGGTTGGGTCAACCTGATCACGACCTGTTTAACCCATTAGCAAATTCATTTTTCTGGGCCAAGCCCAATGCAATACATAGTCATATAAATATAATCTAACCCCTAAATGAAATTGATTCTACATTTTTACAGTCTCTCTACTCTTTAATCCTTACTAGACTCACTCTCTCTCCTGATCTCCTTTATGGTGGCTCACTCAATGTCACTTTAAGTATAAATTGTAATACTAAATTTATACAAAGTAGCACTCCCTCCGTTTTTAAATACTTGCCCCATTTTTCATTTGCGACCGTTTTTAAATACTTGTTCATTTCTTTATTTAGAAAGTTTTTACAATATTTAAATTTCTCTCACCTAGTGGACCTAGCATTCACTCTTCTCCAATTTTCTCCACTACTATTGTTTTGTTTTTGTTTTTGTTTTTTTTTTTACATTTTTTTAATTTTCCAACAACCCCACTATCTCCATATTTTATTCATTTATCCAATTTCTCCTAAAAATCCGCGCATGGATAAATGGAGCAAGTATTTAAAAACGAAGGGAGTACAAGTATTAGATTGTGATTGTAAATACGTATTAAATGATTTGATTTTTTAAGAATATTAACGGTTACAGTGTGTTATAAATAACTTTATAAAAATTCAGGTTAAATGGGTCGGGTTCAGGTCAATCCGTTTATAAACATGTTGGGCCGGGTTAGAATTTTTGACTCGTTTATAAAAATTTAGGAGTTGAATTTAGGGTTCGGGGTGTTGGGAATTTCATTCCAAGTCCCACATGAAAGAAATATCAAGGGAATGAGCTATTTATAAAGTGGTACCCAATACACTAGTACAAGGCCTTTTGGGAAGGAGCTCAAAAACAAAACCGTGCGGGCTTGACCCAAAGCGGACAATATTGTACTAGTGTGTGAATGAGCATGCTTCGGCGGCCCAACAAATGGTATAAAGCCAGGTTGGCTCGATCCGGGGTGGGTGGCTGCCGTGTACTATGTGGGGGGTGTTCCTCGTGTGTCCTCGAAGTTTGGTGATTTGTGCCCTTTGTGTCGAAAGTCCTCTTGATGGTGTCAAGTTGGTGGGACCAGGGGATGTCCTGTAACCGATGGGGTTGCCCTGTAACTCGTGGTTGGAGCGAGTGGGCATGGTCTGATGGTTTGCGGTGAACCTGTAACCGGTGGGGTTACCCTGTAACTCATGGTTGGAGCGAGTGGGCATGGTCCGGTGGTTTGCGAACCATGGTAGCTGATCGGGTTTATCGTTCGAGGGAAGGCCATGACTGATGATGTGGTCCTTGGTCTGAGGGAAGGATTGTTGGGAATTTCATTCCAAGTCCCACATGGAAGAAATAGCAAGGGAATTGAAGACTCAATACACTAGTATTGATTCTGGTCCGGTCCTTAAAAATTAATAATTCAAGTCCTTGTCCATTCAGATCCGATATTAGACCGGTGTACAACCCTAAGAGGGGGTGGGGGAAATCGGCCTGGTGAAGTTGTTGTTACTTCAGTAGTGAAGCTCTAATGTAGTACAACTACAAACTCTATGGCCCATTTGCACAAAAAAAAAAAAAAAAAAAAAAAAAAAAAACAAACTCTATGGCCCTTATATAACCAATAGAAGTATAATGTAACCTCTCTTTCCGAATTCTTATCTTCCACCACTTCTATACATACTCTGATCACTTTCACCTGTAAGGCTGTAACTATAACAACTTATTACTCTATGAACTTGTTTATAATAAGGTCCATATATATATACTAGTATATATCTATGATCATCTCATGAACCAACCTTTTTCGAAATCAACCAGTGATTGGAGTACACGTAAAATAAATAGCCCCTCCGCCCTCAATTTTAGTTGCTATCATATATAGTATCATGGTTTTCAAAGCAAGGCACACTCGTAAAGAATACTACTAGTAAGTACGAGAGTAATAGTGCAAACAGTCAAATTATATCAATTATTGTGAAATAGAGGTAGAATAAAGAGAATCGAGAATCACAATGGATACCATATGGCTCAACATAGCACAATTCCATCACTCAAACTAGTTATGAAGGCATGAATATTAGGATGGTTGATCTGAATTGTTAAAATCATCAAATTGTTTTAGCCAAGAATGATTCAATTATCGTGGTACCTCTATGGTGTGGTCCATATATAATATATATAGAGCCTTTGATTATATATAGACCTAAAGATTATATATTGGTGTGTTGCCATTATGTAGATCAGTTGGCCCCTTCACAACATTCCTGGTTGTTTATGTCTTGAATATCTCTTCATTTAAGTAGTTATCTTTAAGCAAATTAAGACCAAACGTTGGTAAAGTATAATATAACAAGGTAAAGCATATGTCTCTACTTTGGAGAGAAAAGATGTAAGACAAATCACTATCTATTGAACATAAAACAATGAAGACTCTTTATTCTATTTGCGAGTATTATTGAGTGTTATCTATTTTTGTTGGTTTTTATTAGTTTCTATTAGACCGGTTTTCATTTTTCTTCTCCGTTTATATATTTTGAGATATTTTTGAATTTACAATATATACCGTTCAAAAATCTAAAAAGTATAAACCTAATCTCATTTCAGGTATATTGAGATATTTGTAAAAAATAACAAAAGAACGTGAATTTCTATATCTTCTGAACCAACCAAAAGAAAAACGTTTGTCAATTATTGTGACGGAGAAGGTATCCTACGTTTCTTTCAAACTTTTTAAGAAAAACATTTTACCGTTTAATTTTCCACATAAACAACTTCACTACTGAAAACACAATTACTGATAACAGTGACATACTTCATTAGTGAAACTAGTGTATTACAAACTTTGGCCCATATATAAACAATGTAACGTAACTTCACTATCCTAATTCTTATCTTCCACCACTCCTATAGTTCTATACATACTATGATCACTTTCACCTGTAACTATAACAACTTATTACTCTATGAACTTGTTTATAATAAGGTCCATATATATAATCATCACTTGAACCAACCTGTTTCGAAATCAACCAGTGATTAGAGTACACGTACAATATACAACCCGCGCTTGATTTTAGTTGCTATCATACATGGCTTTCAAAGCAAGGCACACCCTTAAAGAATACGAAGTATAATTGAACGATAATATATATTCATATTAAAAAAACATATATAAAGAGTAGTAGATAAGAGACTTTGAGATATGTTTTTAGTATACTTAAATATATATCTGGCTGCTATAGCATTGTGGGTCGTTTTAGGGACATTCTTTAGCAGCTATTATGACTAGTACTTTAGTTGTATCCTCCCACCCCAACCCCCACTCCCACCCTCTTCATTCCTTCTCTTGTAATTAATTAAGGCTCATCTCTTACCTATCCTCACTTATCCCCACTTAGAATTGGCTAAGGAATAAGTGTCGAACGCCTTCATTATTATTGTTTGCTAACAATATTGCTCATGAGGGCATGTTTATACTTCATACAAACATGTATTTGACATTTCAAACTTTTTTTTTTCATGGGTTAATAATGTACTCTTTTAGCAGGGGCGAAGCTAGGAATAAAAAATTATCAGGATCAAGGTTATTACTTTATTACATGTATCACAAAATTTCCAGAGGTGGGTATGAAAAAAATTGAACACTGAAAATTGGGGCCGGGACCCTGCTAAAACCATATGACTTCGCCATGTCTTTTAGCTTAGTAGTCTAATAATGATACCTCAGTACCTCCGCCCATATTTAGTTGTTATATTGCTAGTTTAAATTATACTAGCAGGTAAATTAATAACTGTACTACTAAGATCTGAAGACTCTTCACCTCCACCCACCTAAGCCTACCAAAAGGAAGAATAAAAATTCTACTAGTAGAACGTGTGAGAAATGAGTACAATAATCGGTAAAATAAAGTGACAACACAAGAAAAAGCCAATAAAACGATTTTGGCAAAGAACCAATGTAGTGTGGCAATGTGGTTAGGCAAATGTGCATCTAGAATATCAATTTATAAAAAATCATGAAAGAAAAAAAATAATCCGGGTTCCCATTATTTGTCCCATTAAATGTTCTAACTTTGGTTAACAAGAAAGCAAAGAATAAAGCTCTTGTTCATCATTGCTATAAAGATATTAGAAATGCATATCATATATCATTCTCATAGTAATTTTGGTAGGTCTAATACATGATTTCATACCTCTAATTCAATAATAACAATATCTTATCTTACCATATCACTAAAGTAAAAAATAATGTACTACTAATCATCATAACAATGCCATACATTGACATAATTGTACGAAAATCATACTAAAGTAACCATATTTTTATAGATATTGGCATACACCAATAACAATATGGTACAATCGATGTCGATTCATGGTTGATGGTAGTTTCTTACAACATCGACGGCTTTGTGACTCGTACACCCTAGGAACATTCCACCCGAATTTGAGTTTCTTTGCATTTTTTTCCTTTCTAGGGTGATGTTCTTATGACTTCTTTGTCGATGGATGGTGTTTTTGTGATCATCGTCGAGGTCAGAAAAGGAAGAGAAGTTATCAGCCGCGCTAGCAGTAACCACGCTCCATTCGATGCTCCTTTCACTAGGTGCATAATAAGGGGTTGATGTTTGACTACCGGGGACACCGGAAAGATTTCCAATCTCGAAAAGATCGGAGCTTGCATCACTACACATATCTTCATCATCTTCGGTCTTTACACTAGGACTAGTTGTTTTCTTTGCTAATGAGATGGTGAATGGAGTAGTAGGAGAGTTTGGGATCGCGTCCCATGATAGGATCGAAAGCTTCCTCTCGAGGTTGTGTTCGATTTCTTGCTTGCCTAGTTGGTGAATTCCAAACACATCTATTGTTTTCTTAGGTTGATCTAAGTGAAAAGAAGCCGTGTCTATGATAGGGAATGCAAAGTGTTCTTGATGATGAGAAGACCGGCTTTTTCGATACCCATTCTCATTCCCTTGGTATGACTTAGGAGAAGATTGAGGTTTTTGATGAGAAGTAGTGTTTGTAGTATAAACGGATTTCTTGTCAAAACAAGAACCTTTACATTGAAAACCGGAGAAAAGTTTCTTAGGCAATAACAACCCAATTTGGGTGTTAAAACTTCCTTCGGATTTAAGACTTGGAGTTGGTGACTTAAAGCTACTAGTACTACTAATATTACTCCTTGATGATTTTGTTCCTTCTAACAAATCATCTCCTTTCTCTCTTCTATGATGCCTATGCCTATTGATCCCGCCACCACGACCTCCACCCTTTCTTGATACAACGACACGACTCCTACCGCCTTTTTCATCATCATCAATATTTTTATTAAAGTATCTCTCGGCTCCAAAAACATCCGATTCACCACTTCTTTGAGCTCGAGAAATGTTCCTCCCCACGATCACTGCTCGTGGGGTGGAAACTTCTCGAGCAGGAGAGGGACTATTATTAATAGATTCCGCTAGACTCCTAACAAAGTCCCTCTCGGCTGTATCAAGGTACGAGGAGAACGATACATCTCGAGGGTAGGTTACACCACCCTCGTTACCCTTGAAATTAGGTGAGAAAATCGCGGTTGCCATAGATTAAAAAAAAAAAAAAAAAAGTAGTAATTGAGACTTTGTGAGTGAAGATGAGAAGGTGAAGAGATAATTTAAAGCAAAATGAAGTTGTATGAGGCCCTTAGCAATAACTTAGTGCAAGGGTTGTATATAAATAGAGAGAATTACAAGTAAAATTAATAAATGGATGGTAAAGTTACAAAATAAGTGGGGTCAATATGCTTGAAGCTTGAATGACAGTTTATCACCTTTTTCCTTACCTCCAGATGAAATGCCTCCAAGATCTATCTTTGTCTTTCACTATAAAATTTCCCCCATAAAGGACACAATCTTCTATGGCTGCTCTACCAAACTTTTTTTTTTTTTGGTATCCTTTTTTAAAAATTGTTTTCCACTGTTTTTTTCTTTAAACTAAGTACACAACTTCTCTGTTTGAAAAAAAAAAAAAAAAAAAAAAAACCTAAGTACACAACTTTATTAGACTTTTTTATGTTTCATTTCTGATTTTTCTTGATTTAGTTAGTCAATAATTTGTTGAAAATACTTTTTCAGATCATTTGTAGAACATAAAGCTAGGTGCATTTTAGGAAAAAAAAAATATATAGCAATTAAGAACATAATTAAGTGTTGTGTATGTATATGATCAAGATCATCCGATCCTGCTGTTGTATTAGGTAGGATTTATAATCTTTCTAAGAACTGATTATGCATGAAAGAATTTATGTATAATTGTCTTGATTAGAGGTTTGATAAACTATTGACACTTTTCATTCACATTGTGTCAACTTGTTTTAGTCTAAAATCATTAATCAATTGTTAAATTGCGGTTTAAATAAAATACACGAGTAATAAACATGGTTAGTAATTGAATTAGGTAATCTCAAATTCATAAGGCTATAAAGTAATTGAATAATTTGAGTCACCCCTTAAACTAAAATGTAATAAACTCTCTATTTTTATCGCGACTCACACATGACTTTGCATAAGTTTCGAATATTAACTCCCAACATAATTAAATTGTCCTTACTCCTTATGGCCACAAGATATGAACACGGTATGTATACAACACATGATCGAACTGTCCTTATACACATAATAGATTATATGTGCTATTCCTAACTTTACGAGTTTCCCTATCAGAAAATATAATGGATAATATAACGACCCACCATGTCCAAGGCTAGTGACAAAGAGAAAGAGTTCATGACTAAAAGGAAGCTAGTCATTTGTGATATTGCAAAAAGAAAGATGAAAACTTAGATACTAAAAAAAGAATAACACTATTTAGCTAACATTATAATGTATGCTTTAGTAACATTATTATTATGATAACAGTAGAAAATATAATTTAATGCACTTGTTGAACAGGAGATATAATTTGACAAGGGTGGACATCATAGGTTATATAACAAGTGGTTAGCAAAAAAGTAGAATATTAGCCATTCATATCTAAAAATAGGGTCCCTTTTTCACAAGTAAATGACTTTGTTCGCCATAAATAAGGAATTTAAATGGGGTGATTGAGACGCTCGAATATGACATTGATTTTGAGAGTTTATCGAAGTTGTTTTTCCACAAAATATTTGCTGTTTGAAATTATAAAGTGGCCAACATATAGCATATAATCTTAGTTGTTGATTGGTTAACTGTCTTTTAATATGTAACTTTTTTTTTTTGAAAAAAATGTTGTAGATCCATCTAATCTTAACTATAGATTAGATCTTACACAGTATTATATGGATTCTTTCAAATATTTAACATGTCTAATGTGAATCTTTTTATTTAGGGCTATCTCAAAATGTTTGGTCGTTAGGAAATATTTTACGTGTCTAGTATTGAACCTTGAATTTTTTATTTGACACAAACGTGCTTTATAGTGCAACATCTACATGTCTATTTTCTTTGGCTTTTAAGATATATGTCTTGAAATATTGTAGTAAACAATAATGACATTTAGATGCTTCCTTCCCTAAGTTCTATATATAGGATCAAATGAGGATGCAATTGATGGACCATTAACGTTTAGGAGGCTAGTAATTTTAATCATCAAGCTCAAATATGGTGTAATCAGAAGCTTTGGGGTGTTTCTTTCATCAGATTTTCGAACGATATAGCACCACAATCATCAGTCATGGTCATCGAATGAGTAACGTTTAGATCAAAAGTTGGTGAAACAGGGCCAAAAGAAGCCTAAGAGCATGTTTAATTAAAGAATGTATCAACAAAATAATTGACCAAAAATTAATTATTTGGAACTACAGAACTCTCACTAGTAAAGTACAAACAAAACTATCACAAAAAATACAAAAAGTACTCCGTACAATATACTTCTTAGATGACAAAACAGATAAAACATAGCTGCTTGGCATCTGTATACATCAGAAAACTGAAAAACACTAAGCAAAGTTGTTCACTTGCAGATGCAGTGCACTTGCAGATACGCGTACAGTGCATCTGCAAGGAGTGCAAGAAACCTCGACAAAAGGATGGTGTGAATGCTTGCTGCACATTGAGGACCTTGCTTCGATATCCATACTCAAGTGAACAAAAAATTACTCGAAAATTGTGGTTGCCTGGCCTGTATCAGTAACTGTACTAAAATTGTTTCTACTTACAGACTTAAGTTACACAGAAGTGGAATTGTTTTCACCGGCGACCCAGTATTGCTTGACAGCAAACAACACCTTTTCAGTGAGGAGAGGACCATCTTCATGATCCACCATTTTGGTGTTCCATCTCATTCCAGCTGCTATTCTCTTCGCCTTCATAAGTACATCTACTTCATCTCGGAATATCACTGCCCCTTCAGGCCGTAGGATGCGATCCATTTCTAGTAGGATATCTTCTGCATTACATCTGCAATGATTTACAACAGATTTAACAATGAATTACATGATTTAGCCGAAGGATCATTAGCTGTATAGCGCAAACTCAATAGTCGATAGGCCTAGTTTGTGACCAAAAACCTCACTAAGGGGTGCAACACATCTTGGAGTGTAATTTGCTTAAGAGTTGCATAAGATATATACTGTCTATTCAGATTATATTTCACAGTTCTAATATGGTGGACTAATGACACAGGCTTAAACAGAGGAGTTGAAAATTTTTATAAGAAGTTATTGAATGATTGTTAGATAGCTTTTTTATTAGGCATGAACATTTTCAACAACAAACAATAAAGACAGGCTACCTTTATTTGTAATGAATGTAACGAAAAGAACGAATGATGAAATGTTTCTTACTTATTCTTGTACAAGCTAAAAAGACGATTTGCATGTATCAGGTCATAAGTCCTAGGGTATGTAGAGAAGGCTTCACACCTGCAGACACATACAGAACGAAACATTCAAGCTATTAACACGAAAAAAAAAATTTAAAATCTCAAGCAGTTAATTGATGGAAATTGGTGGGAAGAAAGAATAGTACGCTAAGATGACATGAAACAGCGCAACCAAATCTTTTGACACAAACTTTGCACACAGGCATTGCTAAGTCCTGACATAACAGAAAGCAGAAGTTTACATAAGGCTTACCAGTCATGATATATTCCTATCAGACCTCGCTCATAAATAACACCCAAAGTATCCTTCTCTGCAATCGTGGGCATAACATTCATAACCCACAAACTAGGGGAATCAAGTACTGCAGCAAAACTTCCTAGACCAGCATTCATATCCATGATGTTGCGGTACCTTCCTGTATCAATCAGTTTGTTCACCCTTTTATAGTAATCGACGTGTTTTGACCAAAGTTTGATATCATCCTGAAATGTTACAGCTGTGACTCCAGGAACAGAACCACTCTCTATTCTGTAAGGAATAACATTAAGTCTGTCTGGAAACTGTTTCCACTCTCCGCCAGAAACTTCATCAGGAGAACTTGTTTCAGGGTACGGAGTTATGCATGTCTCCATCTTTTTATACCTGTTATGCACAAGGCAAACGACAATTCTAAGTACTGCAATTTAAGAGGTAGAGCAAAACTTCTGATTATGTTACTCTGACTCTTCATTTCACTTAAATACTTATGTTACATCCTGAACACTTTCAAGATGAAGTGGAGTGTAGTAATTTGCCAATTCATTTTGAACTAATAACATGGACATATCTATGCCTGACATGAGTACACGACTACAAAAGTCCAACTAACATGGCTAGCTATTGGTCTGTCATAGGTTCATTTTGTCGAAAAATCTACCAAAAAACAGCAAAGAAGAACAGAATGCATAGAAATCTACCAAACATCAGTGCCATATTGTGGATCACACATAGTAGCACGAGAAACTCGTTCCCTGCAATTCTCTCTTTTTCTCCAAATAGCAATTTCACCTTTCTGAGATTTTTTCTCCCAGCACAGAAGCTCAGCAATCTCTTCAATTTTCCTTTGTTCTTCTTGAAGCTCCTCCTTGGGACGCTGCCATGCTACATGATTGTTTTCCCAGTTGATGGGTGGACCTGAGAGTATCCAGTAGCCCCCGGGTCTAAGGACTCTATCAACTTCCATCATGTAAAGTCCACCTACAGAGTATCACTTCCTTAGTAACTTGTAATATTAGACAAACTAAGCAACAATTCATTCATTCTGTTTTCTTTGGCAGCTTGGGGGTTTAGGCCTTTATTCGGGTTTGTAAAATTCAGTGTTAGTACAACAATTGACAAAATCCACTTACCATTTGCACCCCACGGAATCAAACACCTTGAGCAGTGAGACATATCGAATGATCTAGGGGGATACGCGAGCTTTATAGTTCCCAAAACACCAATAATAGCAGGAACTCCTCTTTCTAGAGCAAATTGAACTTGTGCCTCATGTGAGTCTCTAGGTGCAATTGACATCGCTAGAACATTTTTCTTGAACAAATATGCTCCCCAACTTGCAACCTAGCTAAAAATTTGTCAATTACTCTTATAAAACAAGTAATCATCAAAATTGCTTATAACCCTTCATAACACTCCCTCCGTCCCATATTAATCTATAGCGTACTAGCTTAGTATATATAGAATATTACAAAACGGAGGGAGTATAATATATAGTTACACAAAAAAGAGATCGAATAACACGAATCAGACTTACCCCACAGCCAGTATCCAGAGCAGTTCTAATCATCCCATTATCCAAAGGAATGACAGAGGCTAAATCATTAATATAAGCATCTGCACCTTGAGGGAACTGCGTTCCTCCACCAGGGAACCTAAACAAATCACCCTCATACTGTATCCAATTCTGGACCGCCTTCTCTACTGTCAAACTCTTGTAAGGCGCGTTTGCATAAGGTACATAATCGCGACTCTTGGGCCAAGCAAAGGGGGTGACATACCCCTTAGGTGCAGGTATCTGACAATCCAATTTCTCCTCCTGTGGAGGACAATGTCTCTCCCTATAGTTCATATTCTCTCGAGGAAAGGTCATTGCTCGCGCCTGGTCATGACAGGGTGTGTAATCGATGAAATGATCAGGACATGGTTTAAATTTCTTGACTTCATTAAGAAGTTCACCTCCATGATGTGTCTCATAGCTTAGATCAGTAAGGATACTGCAGTCTGTCTGCTGTGTGATCTGTACCGCGATTCGATCACCCTTGCCGAAGCCACTGCGCTGCCATGAACCCAATAGATAGAAAAAACAACACAATCCAAACACAATGAAAACTGATAAAGGGCTTCTGGCTTTATTGTCTCCTGAGTTTCCTTTTGTCCCCATTTTTTAACCTACATCAAAGTTAACAATTTTACATGGTTCACTAATAATGTGTAATGTGTTAGCTATGCCCACGAACATATGTTAATCATACAAAAAGGCAAAATTACATTACCCAAGTTACTAAAGGTATACCATCAACAATCAAAACAACATAAGCAAAATTCAACAATTATAAAAAAAATCATTTGATGATTCTCAAATCATACAAGACATTAGTATTAATTTAAATTTTAGATGCTAATTATCCCTTTATGCCGATCTAGGAAACAAAATCATCTGGATTATTAATCCCACAAATTGTGTTACATATAATAAGATCAATAACTACTACACAAAAAATAATTCAGAATTAAAAATGTTACACCTTCGAAAAATAAAATTACAAATTTAACTCACAATAGCATTTGCGACTGGTGATTGTGAAAAAATTCTTGCTGTTTTTTAATTCAACGAAATCATAGTCGCATGATCATGATTATGATCTTTTTTTTTTTTTTTTTTTTTTTTTGAGAAATGATCTAACTTTTTCTTTTACAATGCAATAATTCGTTTAATTTGTGATATTAATTAATTTTTCTATTTATAGAAAATAAATGAAAAACATATAGTTTTTTTTTTTTTGTTCTGCTGTAACAAGTTAAAAAAACTACTTGTATTGATGTATTTCCAACAAAAATAATGTTAAAAAATCAAATCAAGGTATATTATTTATTGTTTGGTGTATGTAAAGACACAAAAGATAAAGAGAAAAGGTAACAAAACTTACGTAATTCTGGTAAAACCCAACTGTACACACTATTTTTCCATTGGGCATCCTAAATTCCTATCTATAGTTAATCTACCAAAAATGCCTCTCTCTAGCAAGCTCATAAACATTTCTCTCTTATTTTTTTTTTTTTTTTTTTGACAAACTCTCTCTTATTTCTTTAAACCTCTTTTTAAAAACTTTTTTTCTCTCATATTCTCCCTCAAATTTGCTAACGCTACCCACCTGTAATAAATCCGTCTCAAAATCAAACTTTACATAAAAATTAGCTATGGACCCAGGGGCCGCAGAACAATTGACAATAAAATCAAAATATGATCCCTTAAAGTTGTGGAGTACGGGTTCATGGAATGGGACCGAAATGTTATGCCAAGAACGACCTATATATTTAGGGTCTCCAACCATATGGTCCGACCGTTTTTATCCTCATGGTTCAGATTCATCTACATTTATCCTTCTTTTTTGCATAATCTTGCTTATTATTACCCTTACTTCCTTCATCCTTAAACCTATTGGTTTGCCAGCCATGGCCAAAATGTTTGTAAGTTTCACTTCCCTTCATTATGTCCTCATAAATATATTTTTGATATTTTATTTCAGCACAATGATATAATTTGGACATTGTTTTATGAATGAATAAAGCAACAATATTTTTTTAAAAAACAAAAAAATTAGAGAGTATAAATGCTTGTAATTTTCTATAGAAATGTGATGCTTCCATAAATTAGCTTACCATTCTTCCAAAAAAAAAAAAAAAAAGAAGAAGAAAGCTTACTAGAAATGAATATGATCTGTAGCATCGTCCGGACCAATAACTAGCTTACTAAAAATAAGAGATAAACATCAAGTATATTATTCCAAACTTTACAACCAAGAATATGTAATAAAATTAGAATAATTGATAGTCAATATTATTCATGTATTTTAAATCTTTTAAGTATAATATTATCATTAAACATATAGTAAAAGTTTAATTTCCTAACATGAATCTTTCTTGTTTATGTAATGTGCAGGGTGGATTCTTTATTATTGGACTATTATACTCAAAAAATGCCCTTGGTTTTCAAACATTAGTCCCCCCAACAGTTTACTACTTCATGAACAGTTTCTCACAAATAGGGTTCATATTTTACACATTTATATTTGGTGTGGAACTTAATTTGTTAGCATTAATCAAAAAAGTAAGAAAGAAGGCTATAATCATATGTTTTTCAGGCTATTTTACATCATTAGCATTTGGTTATTCCGGATTAAAAGCCCTAAATATAAAGGAAGATGAAGCCGGTTATTTAAGGCAAATGATCCTTCATGCTCAAACCTTCTTCATGGTTACTTGTAGTCATGTTAACGACCTTGGCATAAGCAACTCGGAAATCGGTCGTTTAGCTTGTGCTATATCTTTAGTCATCGATGTCTATGGAATGGTCTCGACTTTCATGATTTTCAATGTTTATATAGCTTTCAAAGGTGGACATTTTGTGCTACCTTTTTATGTTATCGCGGTCTATCTCTTTATGATGTTCATTTGTAGGCCGTTAATCTTGGTCATTATTAGTTACACCCCTGAGGGACGTCGTATGAAGGACTCACATTTCTTGGCAATCATCGTGATCATTCTCGTACTAACAATTCTTAGCTTGCTAGTTGGTCAGCCCATGATAGTATTCTTATTCGCGGTTTTCCTACCAGAAGAGCCACTTACCTCGATTTTAAACGATCGATTAGATCTCATGAACTCTAGTGTCTTTTTGCCGGTCTTTTGTGCTATGCATGGATTTATAGCGGATTTTAATCACCTTGGCAAAAAATCTTTAATAATAGAGTGCATTGTCATCTTGAGTATCAGTGGCAAGTTCCTAGGAACTTTTATATCTTCAAGGATTTTCGGTGTACCTTTTTGGAGCGCTGTTTCCCTTGGCTTCATCTTATGTTCCGGCGGTTTCCTTGACATTGCAATGCTCGGCATATTTCGTCATTCCGGGGTAAGTCATGCTATCTTCTCTATATAATCCCCATTATGAGATTATGCTAATAAATTAGGCCATGTTCACTTCAACTCGAAAAATCCAATTTCAGTATAAATCAGAATCAATTTGTAAAAACTCTGTTTTCACTTTTCATCAGTTGATAGTTAATTGTATGCGACAAAAACACGAGTAAATTAGCATAAATCAAATGTTAAGAATCGATCAATTCAAAATCAAGCAAAATGAGCTAGTAAAGCTGTAAAATGTTGCATTTTATAACATCCAGCTAGTGTACTCTGTACTAATTTAATTAAATTTTCATGTGTACAATTGTAACATTTTTCGATTTGTGCGTGTCATTGAAACTGCAGGTTATGGAACCAGAACACTACACCGTAATCGGGATACATATTTTGTTCTGTACATGTGCATTTCTGCCTCTTGTAAAGTTTATGTACAATCCATCAAGACAATACTCGACGATCTTAAGACAAGGTGTGATTGCATCAGCTGAAACAGGCACTTTGCAAGTATTAGCATGCATTCACAAGGAAGAAAATCTACCAGGAATTCTCCGTCTCCTCGAGGCGTTTAATCCTACACACGAATCGCCTCTTCCAGTCATTGCTCTCCAACTCATTCAACTCACTGGCCGTGTCACTCAACCTATCCTTGCCCCCTTCCATGAAATTCAATCCTCGGCTGCTTTCAGATCCAACATTGGTCGTTGCAATCGTATAATAAGCTCGTTGTTGAGCCTCGAACGCAGGACTGATGGTGCTGCTCGTCTGCAGCATTATATTTCAGTGTCTGCATATGCTACTATGCATAATGATATATGCAACCTCGCGCATGAAAAGAAAACCAGCCTTCTTATTCTACCTTTTCATGTACAATGGACTGCAGATAGAGAAGTGGAACACTTATCTGAAGCTATAAGAGATGTCAACAAGATGGTTTTCGAAAAGGCACCGTGTTCTGCAGGTAGGGGCGAATCTATGTTTCTGACTTGTGGAGTCAATTTTAGAATATTTTCTCTAGGAAATTTTTTGTTATTATGTTATTAACTTACCAATCCCCTGTTTAATTTGGACTCTGCAGGTCTGCTAGTTGATCGAGGGGATAAAGATGTTACCATACTCGATGTTGAGTATCGTGTTGCTATATTCTTCATAGGAGGGGCAGATGATCATGAGGCTCTCGCGTATGCCACCCTATTTGCTAGTCATCCAAGCATTAGGCTTACCGTCATATGGTTAAAATCGAAAATGTCAGAGAGTAACACCCACAGTTTTGATGACTATACTGTCATTCAAGAATTTCACCATAAACTGCAGGGCAATGAGAGAATGTCAGTACAGGAGATAGTCGTCAGTGATGGGGCTGAGACAACGAATGCTGTCATTGCCTTTAAAAATGAAATCGATTTAGCCGTTGTAGGTAGATACCATGAGCCTGGATGTACACCCTTGTTTGGCCTTACAGATCGATGGTGCGAGTACCCGGAGTTGGGGATTTTGGGGGACATGCTAGTCACACCAGAGTTTAACTTCTCGGTTTTGGTTGTGCAAGAGGAACCTCATAAGACAACAGAAAATGATGACCTAATTGATGATTTTGTAATGTGATAATTATGCTTAGTTTAATCATACATTATACTTTGTTTATTTTAGAAAATCTGATAAACGTATGAAGTGCTAACATTGAGTGTAACTAATTTTTTCCATTATGCTTGATTTCATCATACATAGTACCGTTTTTATTTAGAAAATCCGAGAGATGTATCACATTTATGATGTACTAACATTGAGTGCAACTTAAAATTTCCATCTTTGAACTTTTGAAAATATGTGTATCACATTCTTTTATTATTGCAATATTTATTTTCACAATTGTCCACTGCAATTACATGTCTATATTTCTTTTACTTTCTTTGGGAAAATGGCCAAGGGGTCACAACTTTCATTTACGCGTGACTAAACAAAAATCAGTGGCAATTACATCTTCAATAATAGTAAGACACACCCCGGCCCCACACATATATGTGCCACTTCATTAACCTCCCTAAAAACATTTGAAAACTTGACAGCAAAACATACAATTAACAAGGGACAAAATCTCACTTATAATTACTCCTAGGTAAGACCCATCACAATCACCATCTTTCGCCTTCTTAATCATTTGCAGGTAGCATGGTCATTTTCTAAGAACAATTGACAAATGTTTTACCTAGGGTTCCTTTCTGATTACCTGCCTATGACTTCGATTGGATGATGAACACAACATTAAAAGATAATCGAGTTGCGTTCATTCCATGACCATACTAACAATAGCATCCATCTCCGCGAATTGCAGGTGTTTAATACACAAAAATTGAACCACCCCGGATCACTTATATATCCAATGCAACCCTTTCATCAGGTCATATGACTTAGATTGAGCCTAAACATTAGCTACAAATTTGTAACTCCATGTACAAAGCTACAAACTATGCATCCTCCTTGAAGCACTCGCATTGACATCCCTACATAGAAGTACATTTTTGTCGTTTCAATTATTCTTTTAGAGTTTGTTAACTATAAGAAAATATGTGTAATAAGGAAGAGAGATTTGGAATTCGGAATCAGTTGATCTTCATTGTAATCTCCAGCTTGCGTCTCACAAGGCTACTCAGTTGTGACATTGTGCGCGTCAAATTATTGATTCTTTGTGTAAATTTAACTCAGTTAACAACACCAAGCTAAGCCAGCAAAGAATTTTAAGTAATTTATTTTAGAAATATTGTTGGCCTGAAAAACCTTAGAAATCGTTGGTGCATGTCATTACTCTAAATTTAGATTCATGCATGCCAAAAAGTACAACCATTTCCAAGCATGATATTTCTTTATTTAGGAAGCTTAAACTAATTAATTATTTCTTATACCTAATATTCATCCCAATTTAATTTCATTATACAATGTATATCATCATAATTATAAGAGCTGAGCCTATTCCTTTCCTCTCTTTTAATCTTGTAAAATCTTCACAATACACTTCTAATAATCTCAAGCACATTTTCGCTCAAAATCTTTGTACATTGTGATGTGAAAAACAAAATCGAGTTACAAATTAATAAAGAAGTTAAACATGGCATCAACCTCAAATGGAATACTCAAAATGTGGAGTCAGGCTACTTGGAACAACACCGAGATGATGTGCCAAGAATGGCCTTTCTTATTAAGAACTTCGAGTGTATGGTCCAACCCATATTATCCTCAAGGTTCAGAATCATCAATATGCATATTGCTACTCGCTATAATCTTGCTTACCATTTCAACAACTTCGTTCTTGCTTAGACCTCTTGGCTTGCCAGTATTGTCTAGGATGTTTGTAAGTTACCGAATTTTCATTACAATCTAAAACATTACATACATTCCCTTTCTTAAGTTTCCTATGTTTTACAATCAAATCCAATGCAATCATCAACTAATTTTACTAATAATAGCATATAATAACCATAAATTTAAGGGAATGTTATCTATCCCACTATACATCCTATATACCTCTGTATGCTCTTAAAAATCCTCCTGTTATACATTCATGCTTTGTAACCGTTTGTAACTAGTTGTGTATCGCCTTTTCCCCCTATTTTACTATGGTAAACTAACCCTTACTATGTTTTTTTCCTTGTCCATACAGGGTGGATTTTTTGTAATTGGACTACTATGTTCCAAGAATATACTTGACTTTCAGGCATTACTCCATCCGACGGTCAATTACTTGATAAAAACCTTATCATACTTAGGTTTCGTATTCTACTCATTCATATTAGGAGTGGAAACTAATGTAGGAGCATTACTGAAAAGAATAGACAAGGAAACAGTCATCATAAGTTTTTCTGGCTTAATCGCGTCATTGGCATTAAGCTATGCTGGAGTAAGAATGCTTAACTTTTCTGATGGAATAGAAGGAATAATCAAGGTGATTCTACTCAATGCTCAAACCTTCTTCATGGTTACATGTAACCATGTTAATGAAGTTGGCATAAGCAACTCTCAGCTCGGTCGCTTGGCTTGTGCAGCATCTTTGGTGCTTGATATCTTTGGAATGTTTCTAACTTTCCTGATGTACAGTCTTATAAACCCTGTGCTTGCCGGCGAATTCTGGCACCCAGTTATGGTTTCTGGAACCTACATTTTTATGTTTGCAGTTTGTAGGCCATTAATCATTTATATTGTTAGCTATACACCCGAAGGCGAACGTGTAAAAGACAGCCATTTCATGGTTATCCTCTTGATTGTTCTTTTATTAGCCTTCCTGAGCTTACAAGTTCATCACCCTCTCATGGTTTTCTTGTTTGGATTCTTCCTGCCTGAAGAACCACTAGCCTCGATTTTGTCCGAAAAATTAGACACCATTACTTCATGTGTTTTTTTCCCTATCTTTTGTGCTATGCATGGATTTGAAGCAGACTTCAATTCTCTCAGCTCAAACTCTCTTATAGTAGAGACTATTATGATTTTGGGCGTATGTGGTAAATTCTTGGGAACTCTTGTTCCCACTATGTTTTTCGGAGTTCATCTCAGGACCGCGATTTCCCTTTCTATCATCATGTCTTCGGCAGGTCTGCTAGATATAGTTATGCTTGGCCAATTTCAAGAACAAGGGGTGAGATACGTACTTTTTTGTTCTTAATTTCCTATATGAACTTATCACGACTTATTTTAGTTGTAAGTTTAAGTTTCAGTATACTTATTTGAACTTATATGAATTTATTATCTCTTATTTAATATCATTTGAACATGTTATTCCTGCGTTTTTTAAGTTGATTAATACCGTAGCCATGATTTAATATATTGTTAGAATTTCGAGTTACAATCTGTTGTATTTACATGATGTTTGCATAACACTGCAGATATTGAGCGCAGAACACTACACAACTTTGTCGCTACACATTCTGTTTTGCACTGGAACCTTCTTACCCCTAGTGAGATACATATATGAACCATCAACACAATATCGAACGATTATAAGACAAGGTATACTTACATCAGCTGAAACGGGCACTTTGCGCGTATTATCATGCATATATAAGGAAGAAAATCTACCCGGAATTATACGCCTTCTTCAAGCTTTCCACTCTACACAACAAAAGCCTTTACCCGTCATTGCCCTCCAACTTATTCCACTTACTGCTGGCCGCGTCTCCCTCCCTATCCTAGCGCCCCTACACGAGATCCAATCCTCATCTGCTTATCGCTCCAACCTCTCTCGTTGCAACCGCACAGTAAATGCCTTGGTGAACCTTGAACGTAAAACTAATGGTACTATTCGCCCACATCATTACATTTCAGTGTCTTCATACACGGCCATGTACAATGATATATGCAGCACTGCACATAGCCATAACGTGAGTCTACTAATCCTACCTTTCCACGCACAATGGACTAACGATATGGGTTTCCAACATGCATCTCAACCCATAAGAGACGTCAATAAGATGGTTCTAGAAAAGGCGCCATGTTCCATAGGCATGCTAATTGATAGAGGTGATCAAAATCAGACTCACCTTAGCGATGTTTATCACATTGCTATTTTCTTCATAGGCGGGGTGGATGACCAAGAGGCTCTAGCATATGCGACTATATTCGTGAATCATCCAAATATTAGGCTCAGCGTAATTAGGTTAAATTCGCTGAAGCCTTCATATAACACCTTTAATGACTATAATGCTATCCAAGATTTCCAGTGCCAGTGTAAAGATAACAATAGAGTGTCATTCGTAGAGGTAACGGTTAACGATGGTGGAGAAACTACTGATATTGTTGTAAGCATGAAAGATGAGATAGATTTAGCGGTAGTAGGCAGATACCATGAGCCTGGATGTACTCCCTTATTCGGGCTTTTGGACCGATGGTGTGAGTATCCGGAGTTAGGGATTTTTGGAGATATGCTAGTTTCTCCGGAATTTGAATTTTCGGTTTTAGTTGTGCAAGAGCGACCTCATAAGACTAAAAAGAGTGTTGATCAAAATGATATTGAAGACGATGAGGATGATCTATGATGGTTTAAGAATCTGATGGTGCCGGCCGGAAGCAAAAGTGTGAGATAATGTCTTCTAAAGAGTAAAGTTGGTTCCTAGCCATAAACGGACAATTTTTGAGGGTGTGGTAGGTGTGCCATAGTCAATTAGTTTGTACCACATTTACCTCACAAACATGAGGTTGGAAGTTTCAATCCTTAACAAGGCACACAGACACTCGCAGCCCCCTCCCTCTTCTCCGGGCATGATCGATACCTTATTGACAACTATAAGTGATGGGCAAAATAATGAAAATCCGACCGCAGGCTATCTAGTATGCATGTGTATAAACGCATTTTGGAAAATAGTGAATCTATTGTTATACTAATTAAACTCTCATCAATTTTGATGCCCCCTCCCCTCTTAAAGTCGTAGTTTATCAATTTTGACATTGTTTTCACTCATATACAAGGAAAAACATTACAATGTATTGTACAAACATAACATGAAATTTAATATGAATATACATATATTCACATAATACAAATCAAATTACCAGTATCATTTTCTCAAGTAAAGAAGTTGAATGTATACCACTAATTGATTAAGAACAAAAGCATAACAAAGCATCCAAATTAGAATGAATTTTTTCCAAAAACTTCAATATCAACCCAGAAAGCATAGAATAATACCAATTTACTTGAATTTTAGGCAGATGAGAAGCATACATACCTCAAACCTTAAACTTAGTAATTTGATCAAGCGATCATGCAACAATCAACTAACACAGTCTAGCACTGGATACAACACATAGTTACGTACCTTGACCACCAACCCTGAAATCATTAAGCACGTTTTTATTCCTTCCTAGCCTTCTTCAATGTTGCAGAACTCTCGACAAACCCAACGGAAAAGCCAACGTGCACTGTGCTTATTGTAACGGAGCTGCCTGAAACAAGCTAAAGATCCATAACAATAAGCACAAAGCACACTGGCTGTAGTTAGGGAACTTGAGAGCTACAAATTTGACCTCCACAAAAATAAGATGCTTAAGTTGACTTGGTATATGCAAATAAAAAAAAACTCTCATACCACCGGCCACACACAAAAATAGATGACTTTCATAGACAAAGTTGAGTAACACATCAACGACGAATAGTAACCAACAAGAGTATTATAAAACAAAGCAGCCGATAATAGATATAACATGGGACATATTCCTAAAATTAGAATTTTAATACTATTAGTTGGATCAGATTTAAAAATTCATAGTACTACACCAAAGGCCCAAAGAGATGTAGTACATGTACTGATGTACATCAACTAGTACTAGTATTTGTACTACCCAATTCTATTGGATGAGAGTGCTATTGTAATCACAAGATGATATTGATCTGTTTAATATTAGGGGTTTATTAAAATCTTATTGCATCTACTACAGACTGTACAAGTTGTCCGATAATTCTTCCCCGTATATGACATCATATAACAATCATACTTAGATATATCATGTCAATTTTGAAAACTAACACAACAAATTGAAATTAACTTGGGTCATGAAATGTAAGATAATATCATACCACAAACCAATGTATGTGAAGTTTCTAGCACTACTCCTTATCCTAGACTACTCTGTAACACAATACAGAGATTATTTGCATGTTCCACCATGCTCTTCTGCAACCTTTCTGGGTTGCTAAATGCCCAAATCCCTAAAACTAATCACCTACAAGTTCTACCTTGCATCCCTTCAACAAGGGCAGTCCAAGGCTTAGGTGTGGCAACACTTGGGAGGCCCAAAGTGCTTCCACAGAATCAAGAAGTCGGCCTTGCAATATTCTTTGAAGGTAAGAGTCACTCGGCAAACTAATTTACAAAAAAAGAAAAAAAAAATAAAAAAAAAAAGGTCAAATGCCTACCCCAAGGGCTTGAAATCCAATCGGCTACCCTTAAAATGGATTTCAGTAGTAGGCCCTGCTTATTAGCAAAGAAAAAAAACACTGGTATTCTCAGAAGAACAACTGGTACAAGAGTAATAAGACACCCTACCCCTTAATATTCAACCTGATTCTACTAGAGCTACACATTTTCTTATACCATGTCATCAGGACAGCTAAAAAATTAAGATTAAATAATTATGGTAATGAATAATTTTCCACTTGGGGAAAAAAAAAGATGACCTACGTAGAATGGCAAATTAAAGAAGATTAACAACAGTAATACTTCGTAAATTATAGTGAAACTGTAAATAAATTTGTAACTGTGAGGAAGTTAAATACTGTTTTACACTAACTGCAGACCAATCATACGAACATCTGAACTATAATTTTCCCAGTGAATGCAATGACTGGTAATTAATGGTAAGATGCAAAACAAAACCAAAACCTGAGAAATGCAAAATCCTTCACATACAGTCATACAGGTAATATTAAAGCTACAAATTGGTATATGACACCATGACTTTTGAGTAATGGCCTCGCCATCTATTTTATTCATGATGATCGGATAGTATAACTTGGTGCACACTAAGATATGCACATGTCGTAAAATCTGGAGAAATTTGGCAGGACAACAGAATATACACTTGTATTGATAAACAAGTATTCAGAGACAGAATGAGCTCATACCATAGTACAGTTAGGGGCCTAAACCTCACTATGTAATACTAGTATGCAGAGCACTCAGCATCATCTTCCATGTGTGTGACACCATTCCAAGTTAGCCCTTGCAAATAATCATTTGCTGAAGAAGATCCAAGAGGTTCCTCCACAAAGTGCTTGAAATCACTGCGATCATGTTGCACCCTTCCACTGATCTCCAAACACAGTCCCTTGTTTAGACCTTTGTTAGAGCGCTTGTCCTTGAGAGGCTTTTCCCTAGGGCCGGGATCAATGAAAACTGGTTGCACCTGAAGGGTGGGATTTGGTTTGACTCGGCTTGCTTCTCTCTGATCAGGTGGCCTTAGAATGTTGAGTCCAGTTTCAAGTTCTGAAGTGTCATCTTGGTTTAACAATACCTAAGCAAATACATAATACAAGTCAATTGAAATTAAAGGTGTCATTTGAAAGCAATCATCTTATGCTTACTTCAAGAGAAGACACATAGCGTAAGGCTTCTTTGACCAAATTGTTCACATCTTATGTAGGTTCTCACTTTTTTCAAAAACCACATATATTCAAAAAAATCTCCTACCTTGAGGCCAAGGTAACCCCCAAGAGATCCAACCTATTCTTGTCAAAGAAACCAAATTTTGACCTAATACCAATTCCATTATCCCACATCATTTACACCACAAGAACAAGAAATCCTGATCTCAGAATTGAAAGGAGCCGTAAAGGGGTAGCTAGGTATATGTCCATCTGTCCCATAAGCTTGAGAACATAAGCCAGCAGAAATCAACCAAATTTCATCATATATTTGAAGGGAGATCAACTTACCCTACGGCCAACCAAGTCAAAAGCCACAACTACTCTCTTTCGTTTTGCTTCCTCATCTGCTTTAATCTCCTCTTGCTTCTTCCTTAAAAGTTCCTTTTCCTGCAAAAGGATATATTATCCAATGAAAATCTGCATTCATATTCATGTAATATGAAGAGGGAGGTTATACAAATATCTGTAGAATTTGATCATATACCTCCATGGACAACCAGCTGTTACCCTCATCATAGTAGTCACTTTGGTCATCAATAACACTTGTGCGTGCAGCTGCATTCCGATCAAAATCAACAAGCCTCTTGGCATAAGCATTTGCAGCTACCTCAGCTTCCGTTTCAGGTACTGCAGACACCTCCAAACCAGCATATGTACTTCCTTCCTTCAGGACTAGAGCCCCACAAAAATTACAAGGCCCTTCCCCTTCCTGTTCACATACTATTTTACCGCAAGATAAGCAGTTGCTCACCAATCTATGTCGACGTGCCTGGCAAGAGCATGGTTTGCCTTGCTGATATACGATAGTTCCCTTGGCAGCTTCTGCAAGTGATATAACCTTCCCACCCTTTTTCTTTCTAGAGTTATTTTGTTGCCTGTTTCCTGACTCTGCAGCCTCTATTTTTACCTTACTATTTTGGTTATTAGAAGCTGAAGCCTCTTTCTGTGCCCTGGATGGTTTCTTGGCTCCACTGGTCAAGCCTTCATCAGCACTTGGCTTGACATACGCCTGTAATTTGGAAGCAGAAGCACCAACTGCTTCAGGTGATGGTGAGTAGCCCCTTCGTCTTAAGTATTCTTGTATGACAGTTTTGCCTGCTTCCTCACCAACGATGTTCTGAAGTCATCACAAAATGAAAAACATTAAGTGAGAAGCTTAAGCATTTGCTACAACCAATCTATTTCTTTCAACATTAGAAATCCCCAGCAATCAAGAAAGTAAGAATAATAATTCATTCTCTATTTTATCAGAAAATTCAGAGCTCTCTACACAATTGCTTCCATAAGCTTTCCTGACATCTGATAGCTTAGATATTTGGAAAAAACTACAATGCAGGTACAACGTAAATCAGTATATGTACAATGTTTCTAAAAGGATTGCATTCCCAGCAATCTATTTTTGGTGACCATTCAACTTCATGAGTTAAGACAAGGGATTTGAGAGTTAAATTTAATTCATATGTTCCAATGCATTCTAGCCAAAACTGACAATCTTAACGCCCAAGCTCTCATACCATTCCAGACCATTAATGGTGTCCTCTCCAATGCTCAAAGAAATTCAAGCCTAAATCAACAAGTAATACAAACACACAATCTGGAATTCAGTTCATATGTTCCAATTCATTCTTTTCCTCAATTTTTTTTGAGAATATATCAATTTCTGATGAACTATGCAGACATACTGAAGCAATACAAACAACATATTTAAACACCCATCTCCATATTTCTGTTGTAATTTGCAAATTATAATCTATGATCATAACCTTTTTCTTAATCAACCCATGTTCAACAAAAGATCCATAGACAAGATTAGGTTTTTACAAGAAAAATTCACAAATCAAGATAAAACCATAGCATAATAACAATAAGAAATCATAAAGCTAATCAACTGTCCAATTATAGAAACACCCCATTATATTAATTTAAAAAAAAAAAAAAAAAAAAAGCTAACGAACAAAATGTTAATTTCCCGAAAATTAGACAGGGAAAAGAGTAGTGATAAAAATGGAAGAAAAAAAGGGGAGGAGAGGAGAGAGAAGATGGAATTACATCAAGGTATTCTTTGGCGTCGAGCGGAGGAGCAAATTCACAGTAAGAAACAAGGCCGGAAATCATATCAGAATCAAAGTCAAAAGGAGTGTCTACTTTTTTGCACAATTCATTCAATTCCTTCTCTAGCCATTGCCCCGGCGACTCCATTCTTCAATTTCTCTCTCCTACAACGGCGGCAATGGCGATGGCGACGGCGACGGCGGTGGCGGGTTTTGTTGTTGATTAGCGATTTTGGTTGTTGCGCAGTTTGTGCTAGTGCTAGTGCTAGTGCTTGTGCAGTTTGTGCTAGTGCTTGTGCCTGTGAGGAGAGATTGTATTGGCTTGTTTAAAAAATAAACTTGAGTCCCGGTCGAAGCCATGTTAGGCCGGTTAACTTTACTTTTTAAAAAAAACTAGTTTTGTGTCCGTGCAATGTCCGGGTTGTTTATTGAATTTAAAGATAAAATAATTAGTTTATTGATATGTTTTTGTGACGATTTACTATCTAGTAGGCATATAATGACTAATACTAATATTGGTGAATTGTTCGATTTAATAGTTTAAAAAAATAAACAAATAATAAATTAAATAAGATAAATGTTCAAAGCCCGTTGGGTTGACCCGAACCCAAAACTTTGGGCAAGGGTTGAACATTTATTGACTCGTAACCTAAAGTGACCCAATCCGAATGATTCATAACTCAACCCTAATTGACAGGTCTATGTAGTAATAAAATTATATTAGTTGTGAAGTATATTATTTTAACCTTAGTATATATTATAAATAGATGTTTTACACTTTAAACTAATTCCTTCGCTCCAAAAAAAATATTATGACATAAAAAAATTTAATTTTTATGATAATTTTTAAGAATTATAATCTAATAATTTTTTTTTTTTGAGAAATTATAATCTAATAATTTCTTTTGAATAAAATTATATTCAATTTGTATCTCTTAAATATTGGTCTTTTATCGAAAATAAAATTCTAAACTTTAAATTTTATCCTAAAATTCTTTTTTTTTATCTTTTATTTAAATTGCTCCAACGTTGCGCGACACTTGGCGAAAAGTTGGAACGCCAAGTGTCGCAACGTCATGGCCTGGCTAAAAGTTTAGCTTTATATATTAGTTATATGATATTAGAGCAACTCCAACGGCAAGCTAATTGCCAAATTAGCCTTAGCTTGCCATGTCACCTACGATTGCAAAGTATTCTTCCTTCTAGCTAATTTATGCCACAATGGTTAAGCTAATTAGCATTTAGATTTTTCAGCTTTATTTTTTAAATAATTAGTCTTTTATTAGAGACAATTAATTTCTAAGCTAATTAGTTTAGCTAAGCTAATTTGCTTGGCATTAGCTTGGCCAAGCTAATTATTAAACTACTCTCCAACGGTTTGGCTATTAACTTGAAAATTATTAAAATTGCAAGCTAGTCCATAAAAGCAACCATTGGAGTTGCTCTTACTCCCTCCGTTTTTTTTTTATTTTATTTGCATCACTTGCAAGTGAGCGAAGTCTTAGGAGAACGAATTAATAATGTGAGTGGATGAATAATTTATTAAGGTAAAAGTAATGTGGGGACCATAAAAGTGAAAGTATGTAAGAGAGTAGTGGGGACCATGAGATTGAGAAATGATAAATTAATTTTAGTGGGGTTTAAAGTAAGAGAGAGAAATAATAAAATATAGTGTAAAGTTATTATACTTGCTCCGTTTTTATTTAGTTGACGCGTTTGATTTAAGCACATATATTAAGAAGAGAAAAGAGAGTGAGAGAGAATGAAAAAGTAAGGCCCTGTTTGATTCACCTTAATTTTGCTGAACTGAAATTATTTTTACTAAACTGAACTTATTTTTACTGAACTGAACTTAATTTTACTGAACTGAACTTAATTTTACTGAACTGAATTTAATTTTACTGAACTGAAATTATTTTTACTGAACTTAAATTATTTTTACTGATTTTCTATTATAATTCTTCTTTAAGAAAACTGAATTTTACTGAACTGAACTTATTTTTACTGAACGGAAATTATTTTTACTGAACTGAAATTAATTTTACTGAACTGAACTTATTTTTACTGAATTAAAATTATTTTTTCTTAATATTATTTTTTTAAGGTGAATCAAACAGGGCCTAAGTGGGGTACCTTGTAAATGCAAGGTAAAAAATTTACCCCAAAAGGAAATGTGTCAACTAAAAAAAGCTTCCTAAAAAAGAATACGTGTCAACTAAAAAGAAACGGAGGTAGTATATAGAAGTGATGCAAATTAAAAATTAAAAATTAAAAAAAAATTAAAAAAAAAAAAACATAAAAGGAAAGTGATTTAAATAAAAAAAAACGAAGGGAGTATACGGTATGATAATTTTAGTTTAATAAAAGTAATTTCAGTTCAATAAGAAACGGTAATTATAAAGAAGAAATATGATTGAGAGTTAGCAAAAATAAATTTAGTCCAACATAAATATTTCAGTTTAGTAAAATTAATTTAAGTTCTGTAAAATAATTTCATCACAGTAAAAATAATTTCAATTCAGCAAAAATAAGGTGAAGTGAATGAGACCTTAATTGTTAATCACATTGATAGACAATTGAGGTCGAAGGGGTAAAGTTGTCATTTTTTGGTATATAGTGAAGAGTATTTGTACAAGTTACAATGTGTTTGATAATTGTGTAGGTAAATTTGTAACTGCAGTAACCCTCAAAAGTAACGTCATAGGATGATGTTTCGGAAACCTAATTAGAGCATTGCAAGAATTGGATAAGCAAACTTATTCTTGTTTCTTTCTCTTTCCTCCCCTTCCATGGTCATTATTAATCCCAATGGAGAAAGCGCACTGGCAGTAGCTAAGCTTGCTTTATTCTCGGGTTAGGCTAGCGGGTCGAGTCGAAATTGATCACCTATTGTTTGGATGAATTGTGCATTGGACTATGGGTAATTAATCTTGTTTGATTCCTCTTTATAGGAACGAATGGAGTGTGAATTCTAAAAATAATTATTTTGATTATTATTGTAAATTTTTACTATAATGGAAAACTTCTTTTGTTATTTTACCGTGGTAACCCTAGCTCTTGTCGGAGGTCAGACATTGCCAAGCCCTGTTCTTCAACATAAAGTCATAAACCCTTAGCTTTTTATTTCTCTATTCGAAATGCTTAGTTCACAACACAAAATTTCACTAGCAAAATCAATTGATTTGTCTTTTATGAGGTTCTATCATAATGAAGGAAAAGTTTAAAATAAAGGAAAGTGTCTTAATTATACAAAAATAAGGAGAAATTTAGTAAATTAGTTTCAAGCTCCTTAATTAGTATGCTTTAATCTATATCTATATTATTATTAAAACTCCAAGGTAAGGAGTGCTTTTTCGCCATGTGTCAAATTTTTTGTTTTAACTCGCCACATCATTTCTTTTCAACATATAAACTTGCCACATAAGCAATGCATGTTAATGATGTTTCAATTTATATCTATATCTATACTTAGTATTTAAAAACACAAACCATCATCCTCATCAAGCCACATGTTAATTTTGTTTTTCACCAATGCCACATGTCACCTCATTTAACTTTTTTTTTTTTTTAATCCCCTTTCTCATTTTTTTTTAAAAACACTTTAATTTAAATACATGTATGAAAAAAAAAATGAATGTTGTTTGCATGGTTCACTTTCCCAAACTTAATATCTTCTAAAATTACATTCAGTTTTTCACCCCTTCTTCTCCTTTATGAACTATTTATTTTTATAAAATAACAAATTATATTGTATATCTATAAACAACCCGTGTATTACACGGGACAGAAGACTAGTTATTAGTAAAATAAAAGTTTTTCCAATTCAAAGTTTGTAACCGACAATATTTATAATGGTTTTAATGATTGTTCTGTATGAATTATTATATCATTATTGAATTGCTTGAATTGGAGCAGTTTGTAAATTGTAATCGATGATCATTTGTCAATCAATTGAAATTCTACAACTGAATAATGAATGGGTGAGTAATTAATGAGTAATTAGTTACAAGTTCATCACTATAAATAATTAAACTCAAATTATAATCGTTGGAAACAATCACTAACTCTGGCCTCTTAGAACAAGTTTTTTAGGTGAGTATTTTGACTTCTTATTTGTATACAACCTTATTTGTCTTGACATGCAATAGGTGAATTGTTTTTTTTGTATTCATGTTATTATACATTTATCAATGCAAATAAACTTTAGCCTATATTGGTTTACACTTCTTTTACAAACATATTAGTTTTAATGATTGTGTAAATATATGTATGAATTAGCTTAGCTATGGAGTTTATAGTCTCGGATTCCATTACCTTTTGTTTTTAACTTTACATAATATCAGTGGCGGATCTAGAATTTTCGAACTTATGAGTCACCATCAATAATTGATCACTTGTTTCAATCCAAAAATTATATATATATATATATATATATATATATATATATATATATATATAAATTATATTTCACCAAAATGATTTCAATCCAAAAATCTATCTATCTATATATATTATACTAAAAGACAAGCGCCTCAATGTGAGGATGACAAATGTCACTCTCTCATTGGCTTATCTTTTATGTATAAAATATATCTATATAATTACTGTTTACATATTTAAGCATAGTTATTTTTGTTAAAATTCAAACAATAAAAGCAAGTTTCTATACATGCATAAGATTTTCATGATTTCCTAACATAAATATTGATTTAATTTTTTATAATAAATATATGGAAAATCTGTCAAAAATAACACCACCTTTGGGCGGTCTTCCTAAAATAAAACAACCTTTTGATTATTCCATAATAAAACGAACTTTGACATGCATCTGCTCAAAATAGAACAAAAAACTTGTAACCTGCTTAAAAGGTTAAGCCCGAACACGTGTCATACTGTGATTGGCTAAGATTATTTTTCCAATTTTCTTTTAAAAGAATTGATTTTTAATTACAAAAATACAATTAAAAAAAAAAATTCTCTCTCCTACCCTCCCCTAACAGTCAGCCACCGCCCACAACACCACCAAAGCCTATCTCCCTTTGAACCTTACAACCCCCTAACCACCTCTGCAGCCCCTCCGATCCCCTTCCTCTCAGCCACCACTCAACCATCTGCAACTCCAAAACCCCACCTCGTAACCATCGTAAAACCCACCCCACATCCACAAAACCTTCCTGCAGCCCCCTCGAAACCATCCCCCAGCCACCCCCGAAACCATTACCACTCCCTTAAAACCCCCTCTCCCATTCCACACATCCTAAAACCGACCTTATATCCACCTCTTAACCACCCAATCTCCTTGAAACTGCCTTAAAACTACCCCGAAACAAACCC